AGCACTGTTAGTGGTCGACACATTATTTACATTTACTCACTTATTCATCTGTGTCATTCCAAGCCACGTTCTGCCTCTTTTTCATTGTTTTGACACAAAAATATCGACATTCTTGCTTGAAAAATTTTTTTAAAATTAAAAGCTAAATTACATTATCGGTCTAATATTCAGAAACTTATTTAAAAACTATAAAATGATTAACGATATGGGTGCATAGTTTATACTTTAAAAAAAGATAAGGGTCTACCTTTTGAAAAATTTTTCTAATTTTTTTAAAACCCCTGCATAATTATTGTCACCTCTATCAAACATAACGTATACACTTAAAATTCTGTACTTTTGCACCACAAGTTTAATCCTCAAATATTACCAAATAAGGTATAAACGCTAATATTGTTATGCTAAAGATTATATGATGTTGTTTCCACACTACGCTAATCCGGGACAAAAGTTTATGGTATCTAAATATTGGGAAGAAACATCCGAAAAGTGCGAGTGAAAACGGCCAGTTAACAGGAAACCTGTTAACCGCAAATTGCAAATGTTATGATCAAATGCTGCCTATGTGTAATTAAAACAATAGATGTAAATTAAATTCATTTAGCTTCACCTCCTCCCTCTCCTCCATTTCACTATACTAAACTTGCAATAACAACTACTGAAACAAATATTGTTAAGCAGAAACGGCAAGGGAATTTTTAAGCTAACAATTAGTGAAGAAACCTGATGGTCCTGATGGGAGTGTCCATGATTTGAAACTCCAAAATGTGTATGGCCCGAATTACCAATATGAAGTACAGCACCCATAATCAAATTGAAAGCTATGCCGATGCTTGCTGTAATCAGCATATAATTTCCATCAACTTCATATTTATTGCTGATAATCCTCATAATAGCCATATAGACTAATACTGCTGTTAGAGCCCAAATTAAAATTATGCTGAAATAAGGCCATGAATAGTGCAAACTCAAAACCAAGTGTTATTTATAAAAATACGTTTGAGAGAAAAGAAGAATAATTAGTTATTTTTTACTACCAAAATACCTCTGAGTATTTTTAGCAAAACATTATCGATTCTATTCTGTAGACATAATTTTAATGTTTTTTTTTTTTTGTTCCTGTTGTAACTATACATCAGAACACCTCATGGCAAACTTAATATTAATATCTACTTTTATAGAACGAGTAAAAATAAGTCTTATCATCTAGATTTTTAAAAGATAGTTAAACGTTTATAAACTTGGAAAGTAAAGTTTTTTTTAAAAAATTTATTGTCAGAAATAAGACATTTATTCAGTTTATCTAAGTTTTCAGCTTAGATTTCATTTACTATTGCAAAAAAAGCTTCTGTCATTGCTGAAAACTGCAACAGAGAGTAGTTTTTAGTTCTACATACCACACCATTTACAGGTATACTAAAGAACCAGAGCAGTAAGTGGCGATCATTGAACTGAACTGTACAACTAAATAAAAATTTGCACAAACTACGATCACGTTAATTTCACCTTAAAAGACACCATCTTTTCGTCCTCTTACCGTTTTCATTAAACAGTAGTTGTTGAAAAAAATTCCTGAGTTTTATATGCGAATAAAATGCTAATTTCTAATCCTGCAGATTTAGCGTAGTTCAACTTGCAAAGCTCAAAAAGCTGTTATATTTAAAAAGTATACCAGTCAAAATTCTTCTCCAAAGCAAACTAAGTCAAAAATGTTACTTCATAAGTTCTGTTTACTCAACCAAAATTGATTCATCTGATAATCAGACAACAAACAGTTCGCTTGTACAGCTGATTTAGAACAAAACTCTTTTGCTGTTTACAACATAAAAATTTAGTTGTTTAAATTTAACAAAAAAAAAAAAGAACTATTTTAAACATTGAAGCACAAATATCGACTTATGCGAATTAATTTTTACAATAAATTTTCAAATTTTTTATAGAAAAACTAATTGGTTGAAATATTTTATGTGACTTGATTTTTATAGTTTGATAAAACGAAAAGATGTGTATTAATGTGAGGTGTAAACATAGCATTGGGGAGCACTGATAAATTTGTTACAGAATAAAAAAGCAGTAAAATAAAAGTTCTGATGACTAATAATTAGAGACATCAATTGAACAGTCAGATACTTGACAGACAATTGATATGAAAAATATTAACGATGTAAATTAATTGTACAGATGGTTAAGCAAAATTTTTAGCTTGTATAAAACAGAAGCTGAAAAACAGTTGCAAAACTCCGAATAGTAAAAATTATAATCGTCTCGTATTAAACTGCCATCAAATTTTAAAAGTAATAAGTAACACTTTTGGTCCACCTGTTTCTCATCATAAGTATAAATTCAATTTTGCATATTTTAATTTTTGCTCATTCCTTTATCAAACAGCGCATTGCATTTTTAATTCATATTTTTTCCTTCGTTTCTTTAATTTTTAATTATTGTTTCTTTCTCATTCCTTAGTCTTTCAGTTCTTTGATCTAATATAAACTTTCAGCAAAGTTATTGCAGCATTTTAGAATAAATTAAATCCTAATATTAAAAAAAAAAATCAAAAAACCAATATCAATTTTATAGTACATTTAAATTAATACTGTCGATACTGTGTTATTGCTCTACCAATAATTATCGACCATAATGAAAAAGTTCATCTGTTATATGCCAATCGAACTGTTGACAACAAATACTTTTTAACGCTTCACTTAAAAATTTAAAAAAGAATAGCACTACAATAACATTTGATTGATTCCAAGACATTTCAATAACACCACTAAAACTCTTCACTAATATAAACAAAAAAAAAAACAACAACAACAACAATTATTCACTAATTGTTGGTCTTTGTTTTAGATTCTTCAAATTATAAAATACTGATCAATGTGATCAATATGAATTAACTAATGTCGGATAGATGTCATGCAAGCAAGATTTATTGGAAGAGAAGAGAACAATAAAACATTTAAAATATAACAAATTAGTCGATAAATTTGTAAAAAAAAATTTTAATAGCAAGCAGTTTATTTGAAAAATAAATCTTTTTTTTTTTTTCAAGTAAATCAAAAATTAACACACCTGGCTATAGCACCAAGTATTTCGGCTCGATGATAGCCAAATGAATACTGCTGTGTGGGTTTTTTTCTGGCAAAACGTATCGCAATTAGTGAGAATGTAAAACCAGTTAAATCAGATACCATATGTCCGGCATCGGTCATTATTGCTAAACTATTTGCCAGATAGCCACCGATAACTTCGGCAATAATGAACAATAACGCTAAACCTGTTGCTGCATACAACGAACCCTCGGCTTTCCTAGAACAAAAGCAAATAAAAATTACCAAACTTAAATGTCACCTACATCATGTATCCATTCAGATTATGCAAAAACTCTTTGAGCGCTCATACAAAAGCACTAATTCAACAAAAAAACATATTTTTTTTTTGTAAATTCAAAAAAAAACTGAACAAAAATTGGCAAAAAACTGTAGTACATTTTCAAATTTATTTAAAAAAAGAAAGCGCAAAAGAAGAAAAAAAAAAAAAGAAAAATTTTTCCAAGTTTTGATGTAAATATTTTAAGATGTATCAAGAAGAAAAAAAAAAGAGGAACAAGAACAAGAGAGAATACAAATATATTGCACTAATGAACACACTTGGTGGTATTTGGTAGTTTAGTGAACAGATTTCTATCGCAGTAGTACAGCGGTACATCATCCTTATTAGCATCCAAACTTGTGGCTACACTTTTAACAGATTCTGATCGTTCACGTGACATCGCCATGTAGCTGAAGTAAGCATATGACTACTAAAAATTAGATGTTTTTTCAATCACTTGCCATTGAAATATCCAAATAACAACTTAAAGGTTAAATAAGCACAGTGATACAACGGAATAACATCTGGTCAGACAACGTAATAAGTGCTAACTATTCAGGTACCTGAGAAAATAATATAACAAAACGAAATAAGGTAGAGTATGTGAAGTAAAACTAGAAATTTGCTGCGAACTAATCAACAAATCAAAAACCAATTTTTTTCTTAATAACATTAAAAAAATAAAAAAACCTTTTTGAACAAATATTTTTCAACATTTCAAATCAATGTTTAACCACAGCTGCAAAAGGTTTTTTACTACTTCTCTTTGTGTATCAATTTTTGTCCACATGGTTGCACAGCCACATAACATTTTAAGCTTCAACAAAAAACTATAATATCTATGCTACAGGTCAAAGTGAACCACGATCACATTTAGTCAAGCTTTTTTAAGATCTAATTTGAACTCCCTTTACCAAACTAAAAAGAAGGTAGAAGAAAAACAGTACGAAGAAAAGAGCTGCTAAAGAATAGACAGTCTAAAAGGGACAGTTTTTTTTGCTTCCTAACAATGCTGTACTAAGATAAAAAAATGCTTGCAAAGTAAAATTTTTGATTATTTGATTCAGATGGCTTACAGAACAAAAGAAGAAACTTAAGCGCCTTTTAAATCTTCTAAACATGGCCATATTGGCCAGACAACTGGGAAGTTTCGCAAGTTCAACATGCCTAGGCTACAGCGAAGACGGACGAAAAAGTGGATAATGGTTATGGTCATGGTAATAGTTTTGTAAACGGTAAGAACAATCAGGCCGGAAAAAAAATTATTAAATTTAGAGCAGTGAAAGAAAGTCTCCAAGTTCAAAAAATCAAAAAGGGGGTAAACCGAACGAGCGACTCATTTATGGAGCGAGAGAGGTAAAGATGAGGTAATACGGAAGCACGCAGAAGAATAGGTAGAAGAGAATTAAAAATGCTGAGGAGAGAATGAAAGAAGGGAGCAGAAAAAGAGAGGGAAAAAAGTAAAGGGGGAGAAACGATGGTGGAAGTTAGAGTATGGCAAAAAGTTGTTGTCGTTGACAGCAACGACAAGCACAAGTTCATGCGTGAAACAATCAATTTGCTGTTGTTCAATTGAGTGTCGTCTGTGTGAAAGTGTAGAGGGTGGGGGACATCACCGACGTGACATCGGTTGATTTTTGTTATAAAAACCGCTAGCACAGAAATAAGCTTGTTGTTTTTTCTACCGAGACTCTTCTCGATTATCACTGTGCACTTTTCTTAACATTTTACCCAAGCACAGGAAAGCGTTGGTCAAGGAAAAGCTAACATGATCTTTTTTCTATCACCATGAAACTATCAAAGTACATAATTGCACTGAGCCCATGACTATTCATCATAAAAAAAAGAAAAAAAACTTTAGTCATATGATAATCCAGCAGAGCAAATGTGTTTCTGCTGATTAAATGATAATA